TGTAATATGCTTTCTATATCCTTATAAATTCTGTAAAAATCTGTGGTAATGTCTCCTAGATCTTGATATTGTAATTTTAAAAATGTATAATTGGGGCTGGGAATTTAGCTCAGTGGTTCCGGCGCCTGCCTCGAAAGCACAAGGTCCTGAGTTCGATCCCTGGTACCAAAACAGGAAAAAAAAATGTATAATTGATATTGTGTAACAGGAAGAAAAGGTCTAAAGGAGCAGGGAAAGTGGGAGGGGTAGGGGAAAGGAAAACAGGGAAAAGAAAAAATATGAGAAAAGGAAAAAAATGGAAACAAAGTCTTTTCAAATAGGGAAGGGTGAGGGGGTGAAGGGAGGGCAAGGGAAGGGGAGGAAAAAAAAGAGTTGTCTTAGGACCAAAATCATGGATCTGCAAAGGATTTCACATCATTGAGTTATCTTCATGAGAATAATGATTGACATTGCTTTTTACTAGTATCTTCATCTATTTTCTTTTAAGTCTGTTCTTGTCTCTCACTCTTCACTTCAGAAAACAAAGTTCTTTTTCTCTCAAGGTAAAATCTTCCCAGGTGAAAAACAGTACTTGGGCGAATAGTATTCTTCTGGGTGCATATAGCACATTTTCTTTATCCATTCATGTAATGCATACCACTTTGGTTGTTTCCATTTTTCGGCTATTGTGAATGATGCTGCAAAGAATATAGAGTGCAGATGTCTCTTTAAAAGAGGGATTTCATTTCCTTTAGATCATTCCCTTTGGATACATACCCAGGAGTGAGATTGCTAGATCACATGATAGTTGTATTTTTGATTTTTTGGGAACTTCCACAATGTTTTCCATAATGGCTATTTACCATTTCCACTGATATTAGGCAAGGGTTCTCTTTTCTCCACATCCTTAACATACTTGTTATCATCTGTCTTTGTGAAAACAGACATTGTTACTACAGTGGGTGATAAGTCACTGTGCTTTTGATCTCCATACCTTATAGTAGCAATTCTAAGCATTTTTTTTCATGACATTGCTGGTCATTTCTGGGACTTTTGTTAAATAACTCTTTAGGTCTAATACCCATTTATTAATCAAGTTTTATACTTTCCTTATTTACTACTAAATGTTGGCATTCCTTATATATTCTGGATATATAGTTTACAAATATTTTTATCTATGCTGTAGACTGTCTCTTCACTGTGATGATCATTTCCTTTGTTGTGAAGGAGTAGTTAAGTGTGACGTAATCCCACTTTTCTATTTTTGCTTTTGTTTCCTGTGCTTTTGGAGTCTTATACAAAAAGAATTCCTGTCCATTCCAATGTCCTGAAACTTTTCTCCTATGTTTTATGCTAGTTGTTTCAGGTCCTACATTTTAGTTCTTAATCCATGTTAAGTTTTGTAAATACTAAGGAGATAGAAGTCTACCTTCATTTTTCTGCATATGTGTGTCCAATTATCCAGGAATATTTATTGAAAATATTTTCCTTTCTCCACTGTATGTCTTTAGTATTCTTATAAAAAATATCAGTTGGCTATGGACATAAGGGCTTTTATCTAGGTTCTATATTCTTTTCCATTAATCTGTATGTCAATTTTTGGGTTTATACCATGCTGTTTTGATGATTATGGCTTTGCAGTATTTTTAAGTTTCAGTAGTGTCAAGTCTCCTGCTTTGTTCTGTCCACTAAAAATTACTTTGATTATTCAGGCATTTTTGCAGTTCCATCCAAATTTTATGATTTTCTAATTTACTGAAAAAAATGTTGTTGATATTTTGATAGTAATTACATTGAAACCATACATTACTTTGGCTAGTAACAATCAGTTACAATGTTGATTCTTCCAAATGATGGAGAGATGTCTATTTTTCTATGTCCTTTTTAATTTCTTCCACAAATGTTTTGTACAGAGACTTTTGTGGTATATGTGGAGCATGAAACATCAATTTGATTGGATTTGGGACTCACCCTAGAGATTGGAAGGGCACATTTCTAGGACTGTTTGGGTTAGTCATGGAGGTATGCATCTATATAGCATATTTTGATACAAATATCAAAGACTGATATTTGTAATTTGAATATACCGATCTTTATTCCTCCCACCTGAAATTATTATGACATGATCTATTAATCTCTACTTAACAAAATATTTTTCAGTACAGTTAGCACAGTACAAATCTAAGGACAAACTCCTTATACTACTCTCCTCCCTTGGCATATCAGAAATTTACCAAAGGTGATGTCAGTTTCTCTTTTAAATAATATATTAAATTATACATTTTTCTAATGTCCTACTCCCACATAGATTCTCCACTATTTCTCTGATGCTAAAACAGAGTTTAAATTCAGCACATGTCAAGTGGAATCTGAATGCTAGTTAGTTCCAGACTCAAACTAAATACATTCACTTACTCCTAGATTATTCTTGCTCAGTTAATATACTGATGCTATTTTTTCGACCACCAAAAAATATGATCCTCTGAAGGCAATAATCATTTCACCTATTTCTATAGAACTTAGCCCACCATCCCCAAACTCTATGCCATCTGAGTGTGTGTGTAAACCTATACAACTTGTGTGTGTATTCAAGTCTCAACTTTATACTTCCCAAAGTCAAATTATTAAAGTTAAAACTAATTAACGGCCTATTTACAAATGCTCATTACACGTCATCCTACTCTTCCTAAACTGTGAAATATTTTATCAACCCTAAAATATCATAGACATATAGGAAATCTCCCAATTTAAGAGGTGCTGATATAAAAAACAGCAGATGATGAGTATGAGTACCACTGATTTAGATGACACATTCCACTTTCAGAGTTCTTAGAATATGGGGGATGGTGTTAGTTATTTTAGAAACTGAAGGTAAGAGAATACTTAAACACTTTGCCCACTGTAAATATAGTAACTGTTAACTAGGTTGAACACATAGAGAAGCACCAAATAAGTAGGAAAGAAATGGATCAAAAGTCTGTACATTAAACATTTCCTCCCCATTAAGGAAAATAAGGACTTATACAATATTAATGATAAGTTCAAATGATTCTACATATCAAGCTGTGCTACATGTTTCCCCAACCTTCTGATAACAGAAGATAATGTTCAAAACTTCATTGTACCCATGAATATATAGTAATTCATAAGACCTGAAATTCATTTTCAGACCTTCAAGGCAGATAAATATTTCTGACCTTATTATTGGTAAAATTTTCTTTCCTCAACATAGCACAACATGCTTCAATTTGTTGAAAATACTAAAGAATCAACTTTACAGAAGAAACATATGTTTAAAATTGTAACAGTAATTTGCCAATATAAAATTAAATATTTAATGGTGTATTACTTTTTAAATGCCAGCACATATGTGTATTTAAAAGAGCAAATATTATAAACCAATCAAATATACAAACATACAGTAATACACTTCCACTTCACTCCTTAGACAGTCAAAATATTAAGGTTACTGAATTACAAATTTTGCATTAAGTAACAACTTAATTTCAGAATAGTAAGTAGCAAATCGTTTATTCTAAAGTATTTGTTAGTAGAATAGAAAAAAAGAACATAGCACCATAACATTACATTCAACCTCAAACTAAATACATTATGTTTTAGTGAAGGAATAAATTTAAAAAAGGACAGAATGCTACTCAGGCCAGTACTAACATTGAACTGCAAAGGTGATAGTTTTTTAAAGAACATACAAGAGCATTTAAAAAGTAAAACCACAGAATCTACATCTTAACACTGCCTCGATACAAAGCAAACAAAATTCTCTCCCTATCTCTAAAATTGGAAAAATTAGTATTTCACATGATTTTATCATAAGAAATAAATATTAATTCTGTACAAAAAAAAAAGAAAGAAATAAGTTACCGGGGGCTGAACCCAAGTCCTTCACAATGAGGTATAATGCCCTACTTTCCTTTTAATTTTCAGACAGGATCTCACAAAGCTATTAAGTTACCTTGGCTGAGCTTGAACATGGAATCCTTTAGACTCCCAGAGTAATGAGGTTGCACACATGTGCCACCACGCTTGACTTACAGGACTTGTTATTAATAAATTTGATTTTCTCTTAACAGTAAAAACAATTGGTAATCACAAAGATTAAGAGATTCAGCAAGTTACTTTCAATCAAAGATTTGGTTACATAAACTATGAACTAAAATAGATTTGTACATTAGGTACATTTCATCTTATTTGCACCAAGTATTTCTCTATCACACAAAGCACCATACAATTCTGAACATTTTACACTTTTAAAATTGCAAATGACTCATCAGCAACGGATAATTACATCAAAATATTCATCGTACCTCTCCATTTCTTAATGTTGTAATGGTTCTTCTTGCCACCCCCATTCTAAATAGTGTTTCTGTGGCCTGTGAAGAAAGAAAAGTAAATGTATGTAATTTGTTTACAACTACATATCCCTCCCCAAAAAAGGTAAAAAAGGAAAAAACCTCAAACCACTACCCCCAGTGGCAAGGACAAGAGCTTTGCTGGCACCAGCAGCAAAAATCCCCCTCCCATCCTCTCCCACATCCCTCTCCCCTTATCCACGCCCCCATTTAAATGAGAAGACATGTAAACAAGTCTCAAAACCAGACTTCCAGATCACCTTAAGCAGCCTCACAAGGAAATGACAAGAAACAATCTGATACTCAACAACCTGGACTCTCTGAACTGGCAACAAAAGAGGACCTGGGAAAAATGAAATAAGAAATAATTTCTCAGATAACAGCAGAGATTGTGCCCATAGTGCAAGACATGATTAATAACTCTAGAGAGGACACACATAAAAAAAAATTGAGGAGCTGAGGAACATGATGGAATCCCAACATAGAAAACAAATGGAATACATAAAACAGGTGTAAACAGATTTCCAGGAGATTAAAAGCTCCATTGAAGTCTACACAGCAGAATGAGCCAATGTGAGGACAGAATTACAGATATAGAAGATAAGATTGCAATTAGTGACAAGGAAAAGAAAATTTGATTTAAAATTATAAGGGTCCAGGAGAAATCAATCCAGCAGCTGCTAGACGATGCAAAGAAGAATAACTTAAGACTGATTGGAGTCAATGAAGAAAGAAGAGAGAGTGTAGATGACATAAACAACTGTTCACAGAATTGATGGCAGAAAACTTCCCAAGCAGGGGAAAAGAACTTGACATACAGATAAGTGAGGCATATAGGACTCCGACTAGCCTTGATCAAAAAAAATCTACACATAGGCATATAATAGTTAAGATTCCAGAAACTCAAAAGAAGAACAAAATTCTATAAGCAGTTAGAGAAAAGAAACAAATCACATACTAAGGAAAGCCCATCAGAATCACAGCAAACTTCTAAATGCAAACCTCAAGGCAAGAAGAGCTTGAAGTGACATATTTCAAACCCTAAAGGAAAATAGCCTCCAAACCAGACTGATGTAACCTGGAAAACTATCTTTCAAAATTGATGGAGAAAAAAGATACTTTCATGACAAAGAGCACCTTAGGAACTTCATGAATGCCAAACCAGAACTCCAAAGAATTTTAGACAATATCTTAGGAAAAGAAAACAAGAATCACAACACCAGGAAGCCCAGAACAATGAATCCATCAGGCATGACAAGAAATTAGATGCAAAGGAGGAGAATCCAACAAAAAGAAAAAGTCATGACAATGATAAGTCAATACGTATCAGTTATAAACATCAATGTTAATGGTCTCAATTCACAAATAAAAGAAATAGAGTGGCAGAATGGGTCAAGAAGCAAAATCCAACAATATGCTGCATACAAGAAACACACTTAATTCAAAAAGAAACTCACAGACTGAAAGTTAAAGGGTAGAAAACAATACTCCACGTGACAGGAACACAATAAAAAGCAGGAGTACCTATCCTCTTTGCAGATCAAGTGGATTTCAAACCAACACTGATTAAGAGAGACAAAGAAGGACACTACATCAATATAAAGGGAACAATCCAAGAGGAAAAGAGGACAATCATAAATATTTATGCACCAAACACTGGTGCACCCAATTATGTAAAATAAATACTACTGCACAAGAAAAATCAAATAAGCACTAATACAATAATACTAGGGGACCTCAATAACCCACTGTCACAGATAGATCAACTAGACAAAAAATAAATGACCAAATGCTACAACTCAATCAAACTCTTGAACAAATGAACTTAACAGATGTTTGGAGAGTGTTCCACCCCAACAATATCAGAATACACATTGTTTTCAGCTGCATAGGGGTCATTTTCCAAAATAAACCTCACATTCGCTCACAGAATATGTTTAACCAAGTGTAAAGGAATTGAAATTATCCTGTGTATATTATCAGACCATAGTGTGATGAAAGTGGAGATCAATACCAAAAGAATCCTCAAGAATTTCATACATACATGGAAATTAAACAGCACACTTCTGAATAACCAAAGGGACACGAGAGGAAATTAAAGAAGAAATCAGACAGTTCCTACAATTAAATGACAATGACAATATAACATGTCTGAATCTATGAGACAATGAAAGCAGTCTTACGAGGGAAATTCATAGCAGTAAACACTAATATTAAGAAAACAGAATGAGCCCAATTAAACAACTTAATGCTGAACCTCAAGCTTCTAGAAAAAGAAGAGCAGGACAAACCCAAAGCTCATACAAGGGAGGAAATTATAAAGATCAGAGCAGAAATCAGTGCAATGGAGACTAAGAGAAGGATACAAAAAACCAACAAAGCCAAGAGTTGGTTCTTCAAAAGAATAAACAAAATTGATAAGCCCTTAGGCAACCTCATCAGAAAAAGTAAAGAAAAGGCCCAAATCCATGCAATTAGGAATGAAAAGGGTGAATTACAATGGACCCAGCAGAAATCCAGAGGATCAACAATACCTACTTTGAGAACCTACATGGCAATAAGGTGGAAAACACAGAAGAAATGGACAGATTCCTATATACATGTCCATTACCAAAGTTGAACGAAGAAGACCTAAAAATTCTAAACAACCCAATATCAATCAATGAAATTCAAAACGTAATTACAAACATACCATCTAAGAAAAGCCCCGGTCATGATGGCTTCACTGCTGAATTCTACAAGACATTTAGAGAGAAACTACTGCCACTACTGTTTAAATGCCTCAATGAAATTGAAAGGGAAGCAATACTACCAAATTCATTCCAGGAAGCAATTATCAACTTGATCCCCAAAGCAGAGAAAAACCCAACTGAAAAAGAGAACTACAGGCCTATCACACTAATGAATATAGATGCAAAAATCCTTAATAAGATACTGGCAAATAGAATGCAGAAGATCATCAAGAAGATCATACATCCTGACCAGGTGGGATTCATCCCAGGCATGCAGGGATGGTTCAACATATGCAAATCAATAAATGTAATATACTCTATTAATACAGCCAAGGACAGAAATCATATGATCATCTCCATAGATGCAGAAAAAGCATTTGACAAAATCCAACACGTATTTCTGATAAAAACCCTACAAAAAATTGGAATAGATGGTCTCTACCTCAATCTAATAGCCATCTATGAAAAAACAACAGCCAATATCATACTAAATGGTCAAAAACTGAAATCCTTCACACTAACATCAGGAACAAGGTAAGTTCACACTATCACCAATCCTGTACAATATAGTCTTGAAAACATTAGCCACAGCAATTAGACAAGAGAAAAAAATTGAAGGAATAAAGATAGGAAATGAAGAAGTCAAATTGTCATTATTTGCAGATGATATGATACTCTATATAGAAGACCCCAACACTCCACCAAAAGTCTTCTAGACTTAATAACCAAATTCAGTAAAGTAGCTGGATACAAGGTCAACAACACAAAAATCAATAGCTTTCCTCTACACGAACAACAGACTCACTGAGAGAGAAATAGGGCACACAATTCCTTTTACAATAGCATCAAAAAAACTGAAATACCTAGGAA